GAGCGCCGGGGGGGGGAGGGGGCAGAAACACTGCTTTAAAGTCCAGTATTTTCTCCAAATCTTTTGTTTATGAAGTGTGTGGTGTTTCGAGTGCGCCCTACAAAACACCCGCTCAGTCTGGCTCTGCGGGTCTGAGGGTGCTGCCGTTCCTAGACAAGGCAGTGTTTTTCTTGCATGGGTATTAACTGGGGATTCTGGCAGAGCTGGCAAAGCCCGATTTAGCGGAGAAACGTTGAGTTTGCTCTCGAGTTTTGCTGTTCGTGGCGCTGCTGATGTCTGCGTCATCCATCGGGTGTTTTTGTTGGCAATTAGTGCACAGATAACAGTAAAAGTTATTATAAATATCGTTGTATATCTGCTACTGACAGATGCTAACTGAAAATGAGTAAAGACAAACAAATCGATGAAGAAGATGATGACAGCGAGCAGTTCGAAGACTTTATGGAGAATTTTAACCAACTTGAACTGCTGGAGACACACAGGCATTTGATTCCTGTAGGAACTCAGAGCTGCTGGTCAGGACAGTCTGATGATGACGATGATGAACAAGAAAGAAGTGAGGAATGGTACGAAATGCAAGAAAAAAAAATGGAAAAAAATCCAGAGAAATTGCTACTCTGGGCAGCTGAAAACAATCGGGTAAGGCATTTATTCTGTTCATATGTATCACTGACAAAGAGTGTTATTTTGAGGAGATATCTACAGTTTCATCCACAAACAAAAATTTACCTACGCTTTCCTTTCTCTCTCTGAACTATTTTGATCCGGTTTTGCAAGCCACTGTATGTAAAACATCTCCCTTTTGTAGCCCACACACTAAAATATGTCTGGATCCATTAGCTTTCAGAACAAAAGCTTTGACTGTAGTTCAAAGTTAAAGTAACAGCACTCTTCTTAAACTTCGATAGACTGAAAGCATGCCAGGCTCTTTCTTCATGGCAAGGTAGCCTTTTAACTGGGGTGGAAGAGGGTGCGTCTGAAACTTTGTCTTCTCAAAAGCTCCATGTGCAGATAATGGGTGACTGTTTTCCTATCTTTTTATGGGGGGAAAAAAAAAAAGCTTTTTATTCTTGAAAGTGAGGGAGAGATGACCACGTAGCTTATTACACCCTCGTAGCTTATTACACCCTCGTGTACATTTTATTCTTGAAAGTGAGGGAGAGATGACCACATAGCTTATTACACCCTCATGTACATTTATTTTCATTAGTTGCCTTTCTTACACGCACAAGCTCCATCTACAGTCCTGTGGAGGTACTTACGTCTTCACAGTGAATGGGGAGAAGGTGTAAGGTAAAGGTACTCCTAAGGCATTGCAACTAATGCTCATGTTGTATCTCTTTAAAAACAAAACAAAAAAACCGACCCAAAACAAAAAACGTATCTCTTTAAAAACAAAACAAAAAAACCAACCCAAAACAAAAAAACCACAAAAAAATCCCACCCCAGTAACAGTAACTGGTTTTGTTTTAAAATTTCTTGTTGCACTTAAGCCTTTCTGAGACTGACAGAAATTGCTTTTCCATAAAACTTCAGAACAGTAAAAGCCATACATCTTGTTTGCAGTTTTGTATTAAATTACCTGTTTCCTATTTAGCTGAGTACAGTGAAGAGGCTCCTTTCCGAAAAGCTGGCTCCAGTTAATGCTCGTGATGAAGATGAGTACACTCCTCTCCACCGAGCTGCCTACAGCGGGCACTTGGACATTGCACATGAATTGGTTGCCCAAGGGGCAGACGTTCACGCGCAGACAGTGGATGGCTGGACGCCTCTGCACAGCGCCTGTAAGTGGAACAATACCAAAATGGCCGCGTTCTTACTTCAGCAGGGTGCAGACATCAACGCGCAGACAAATGGCTTGCTGACACCGTTGCATATTGCTGCAGGAAACAAAAACAGTAGAGAAACCCTTGAACTCTTGCTGATGAATCGCTACGTGAAACCAGACCTGAAAAACAACTTGGATGAAACGGCCCTTGACATTGCTAGGAGGACTGATATATATCACTACCTTTTTGAAATAGTAGAAGACTGCATAAATGCTGTGTCCCCTTAAAAGTTGTGGTTAAGCTTGTGAATGTGAGGTTTGCTGCCCCTCCTTTGTGTTCTGCATGCTCATCAGTGGTGGTCGGTCCCTTTGCAACAAGGTTTTCATTTAAGATACTTTAGTATTCTCCTCAGGCAAAACGTCACTTCTTGCAACTCAGCTCAGTGGTCTCGCTCATACTTTGAAGCGTTACTGCTGTTACGCAAGGTATTCAGAAAGTCTCGGTAATTTCAGTGAGTCTCCATTTAATTAGTGCAAATTTGGAGGGGCTTTTGTAATTGCTCTGCACTGTCAAAGCAGGAGGGAAAACTGGAATATTTACTTGATGTGAAAGAGTTCTGGCTTGGTTATGCAGAGTTTATTACAGCTCACTTGAAAATTATTTTTTGAGAAATTTAACTTTTTTTAAAACTGCATGAAAGCTCAGAATGAATGTAACTTATTTGGGTGATACACAAAATGTTTAGTGATCCTGGTGTAAGGCTTATTATAAAATAAAATATTTAACCCTAAGTATTTTGTTTTCATACTTTTAATTGAAAGCTCAATTATCAATGCAATTGCCTGTTCTTAAATCAAAAGCGTTATTCATAGGATGATAAAGTAGTTTTGGTTTATTTTTTTCCTGGTACTTTTCCAGGAAATCACTTTCTATGAAGATCCTGTTTACTTTTACCTTGCAAATTAAGTTGAGGAGTAATGTTTTAATGTCATGGATATGGCATTAGTTAGAACAAGTAAATTTCAACTGTATGAGGATAAACAGCCAACATACTGCTGTGTCTGATTTAGTTACAGCTAATTTAGTACAGGACACACTCAACAGTGTTTTTCTTCCACCTTTGAATTCCCAAAGGGAATTCCTCATTCCAACTCAAAATTAGGACATCAGCATAGTTCAAAAACTTTACTGGTATTTTTCCTCAAAATTCCTTCATTTCCAGACCATTATTTGACACCTTTTTAATTTGTGATAGCTTGTATTACTAATCCTAGACATTCACATCTGAGTTGGGCTTCCAAAAGTTGTGACAGATTTGGCTGCCGTCATTTAACCACACTCAAGGTGGTGGAGGTGGGTTGGTTGGTTTGTTTCTTAAGATTTTAAGGCCTTTAGCACGCGCTTGAGTGCAGCTTTTCTCTGCAGTCACGCCAGCTAGAATCTCAGTGGTTTGCAGTGAAGACAGGACCCTTCATCTGAGGCGTTATTATCAGGTTTTAGCACTGAGAACTATTTGGTTTAACTTAGCAGAAAAATGTTAATTAATGCTATAAATTTTCACAAGAGACATCATAATTTGCTGCCTCTGTCAGTTTGGCCTTTCTGCTAGGAAGTGAAAAATTCTATGATTTTTAGAGTTGATTTGAGAGTTTAATTTACCTGTGTTACTGTTCACATCAGCTGTATCAGTCTGCATCTCTCAATCTTTCAACTTCTTTTAGAGAATCAACATCTCTGGATTATTTAGCTATCCTGTCTCTTTTTTCTTTCCCCCACCTTGGTTCAAGTGTAGGTTTCAGATAAAAATCACTACTAAATGCAAGTATTTAATGAGTGAGGGTTTTTAAGTACTGGTACAGTACATCTAAAAACAATTATTCTGAGCAGGTAGATCTTTTCTGATCAATAGTGGTTTAGAAGGATACTGGTAGAACTTCAGCAATGCTGTCAGCCCAGCAGATGATCTGTATTGCATGGGAATTAGTACACTAAAGACTTTCCCACAGTAATGGCATGCTGCATGATTTTGAGCTTCAACTTTCCCATCTATAATTTAGGAGTGGCAAAACTTGCTTCTCTGTGTTAATCAACTTGAACTGAAAATTGAATGTAAGACCTGAAGTACTGTCACTCAGTATGACAGCTGTAACAAAACACTTTGTTGTCCTGTGCAGATGCCTTACTGAGTGAGTGATCCCAAGCTCCTTCCAGACACCACTAACAGAGCTGAAGCACATTTGTAACAGCAGCAGCAGGGTTGGGGTATGTTGGCCCACATTTGGTGCTCCGATCAAGCCTCTGTGGAGGGCATCTCTGTCACCTGCCTTTCTAGAAGCCCTGTTCAGCACTTCTTAGAAAATAAGAGAACTGCCTCTGAACTATGAATGGTACAAGATAATTTTTAATGCTTATTATTTTGAAAGTTTGGTTTCAGGACATCTGTGGAAGATGAACACACCTTGAAATGCATCAAGGAAAAATATGGAAATGGATTACATCATGCATTTGTGTAACTAGACTTGGTTTGTATCTTATAAATTCTCACTACTGTATGCAAAGTCTTGATTTCAAGGAAGCTACTGCAGGGCAAAGCTTCCGGCCAGGCAAGCAGGATATCTTCCCTGTGTGCCTGCCGGCAGCATTATCTGTTGACTACTGTAACTGCCAGCTGCTCTTCCTTCTCAAAACTTGAACAGCGGCGAAACAAGGAGAGTCAAGTCTACTTCAGTCCTACAAAGTGTCTCAAGATGCCTCATTTTATGAAAAGCGTTATTAAAACCAAGCTAGTACTTTTGAGTATTAGTAGATCTACATCATCCCTCCAGTGAAACTGTACTCTTCTGTCTTTATTTCCATCAGTCCGCCATTGCCTCAGGTGATAATGACAAGGCACCCTTTCATAAGGCAGGCCAGTGGTGGCACTCCACAGGGGTACAAAATGTTTGTGATGTGGATGCCCACTTGTGAGTGTGGTAATGCTGACTGACACAAACGAGGAGCTGTTAATGATACCTAGAGCAGAACCATTAATGACACCTAGGGCTGTCACCCACCCTGTGCCCCAAGCGGGCATGAGGTGGCTGTGGCCTGCTGTCCCCTGGGGACAGTGACTGGCCGCCCCTCCCTCGGAGGTCCCCCCCGTTGTTAGCCCTGGCCTGTGGAAGGGGTAAAGCACCCCAACTGTGACAGAAAACGGCGGACCCGATCTGCCCCCCACGGCACAAGGCTGCGGGAGGAGGCGGGCTCCTTCCCTCAGGCCGCAACATGGCGGAGGTCGGGCAGGGCGGCACCGCCCTGCTCTGCCCCGCGGCCCGCCCCCCCGGGGCGCCGGGCCTCTGTCTTATCC